AATCCAGTTTACCTTACAAAACATATAACTAATACAAATACAATAAAAAAAAATATTTTTTTTTTTCCCATTTCCTACGCGGTTAATGTTCCCATTGGTCATGGACGCTACCATTTTCTTTCAGGTACTGAATCTTCAGCCACTTGGTTGGATGGGCTGTGATGACATCACTCCCACACATGTGCATGGGCGTAACATCATCAGGCAGACAGCACCGTACATAAACACTAAAAGTGCAAATTGTGAACAAACACGTCCTTGTGTAATTCTAAATTTTTTATTTACCTCAATCATGTTCAGATAGACACAACCTGCAGTGCTGCCACCTATGGAAAGCAGGCCACTGTATTAGTTTGACCCCTATCTCTAGCAAGGTCAAAATGTGCTTATGTTGAACAGCGTTTTGAGCCAGGGTGCCAGATTCTCCCCACAACACGTTAAGTAAAGGCTTTTACATATATCCCTCCTAGATTGTTCTGAAATAAACAAAAATAGACTTTCAATGATGAAATAACATGGATAACAATTTAGTAAAACATATAAAACTCACATTTAATTAGTGCAAACTAGTACTATCAAATTTGCATTGTCAAAATGTATCCGGTATACAGTATAGAAAACTGCAGATCCCACAGGTAGTTTCGACCTAAAATGTTGACAACATGGAAAACTTGATGTCACCACAAAGGACTTTCCATACTGGTTTCATCAATGAACTTCCTCTGCCTGTTTCTAAGTTGTGTTTCTGTATATGAAGTCTTGATTTTGCATACTTATTGGATTTATAGTTTCTACTTTTAGCACTTCCGGTAAATGGGCCTTTGGTTGGTATTTAATTTACAGTACTGAGGCAAAAGGGCAAGCAGGGGACAAAGTATTGCCTGTGGGCTCTCTGCAGCTGATTTGTTCCTTTTTTTTTACTGACTTAAGCTGGCCATACACATAAAGATGCCATAGATTCTTCTATCTACACTAAACAGTGTTGTTGGACATACAGTATCTCCCACTGCCATCTATTGTATTTTTACAACCGGCACCTGCAGCTGTCGAATATCTGAAAAGTACCTGTAGCTCATTGACTGCAGCTGATTCACCCAGCTTCTTCAATTTTTTAATCAAAGTTTGTCTAGCTGGGTAGTGTTGGAAGGGCCACCCACAGTCCTAACTTTGGATGTTTCACAGGAATTGGCCAAAAGAAGAGCCGTGTATGACCAGCTTGAAGTGGGCTTATACCTGAGTTAAAATAAAATGCTGGCAGGTAGGATTTTCTATGACTGAAGAGACTCTGTTGTTCTCTTTTCTCATTAACTCTTCTCCCTGCCTGTTAGTGTTTATGTACGGTGCTGTCTGCCTGATGATGTTACGCCCATGCACATGTGTGGGAGTGATGTCATCACAGCCCATCCAACCAAGTGGCTGAAGATTCAGAACCTGAAAGAAAATGGTAGCATCCATGACCAATAGGAGCATTAACAGCGAAGGACTGGAGAGGATTGCTTGCCAGGTAAGTCTGCCATAATATGTTAATATGCTGTGCATACTACCACATTATGGCTAAAAGTTCCAGGGGCCTAATAAACAAAAATGTGGTGCATGTTTAATTTCACTTTAACTATGCCTTGTTCCACAAGAAGTCTTCTTACCATACACCCTCTCATTTCCTGTAGCCCGCCCACATTGCAGTTTGACCATGCTGCTTTGTAGAACACACTAATTAGTTCTGATTGACAGTGCTAGTCTCCAGCTAGCACATGCCTAAACCCAGCTTTGTCCCTACTCATACAGAGGGAGGGACCATGTCTTCCTGTGGTAGGGCACAACATTAAACACATACACAGCACTTCCTACAGTACATATCCAAAGAGTGTGCAGTCTTGTGTGAGCAGCATAAACAAAAAGGAGTACTTGAGGAATGACAAGCTTATGACACCACCATGTCCAACATGTTTGTCCTCAGTAGAGATGGTAGCAACTGAGCTTGACTTAAGCTCTGCAATAGGAATGTTGACAAATTGGGCTTCAGGAAGGAACTCACAGGCACTAGCATCACCAATAGAGATGCGATTTTATGCAGAATTGTTCAACATTACTTTTCTGAAGTAGAAATAATTATCTGAAGATGAAGCAAAAGACCAGCAGGTAATCTTTTATAACGCATGAGACTTATTCTTTAAAGCTTTACTCAGTAAAGCTAAAAATGTGCTCCATTGCAGTGCAGCTTCCCTCGCAATGAAAGGGTTAACTGCTTATTTAATCTAGGTCAGGGGTCTCCAACTGGTGGCCAGATGTGGCCCTTTGCTTGTCTTTATCCGGCCTTGGGGCACTATTCCTTCCACTGATTATAGGCACTATTCCTTCAACAGACACCAAAGACAGGGCACTACTCCTCCCACTGACCCCAACAATGGGACATTATTCCTCCCACTAACACCAACAATGGCACACTATTCCTCCCAACTGATACTAATGATGGGGCACTATTCGTGCAACTGACACCAATGATGGGCCACTATTCCTCCCACTGACACCAAGGATGGTGCAGTATTCCTCCCACTGACACCAACAATGGGATCCTATTCTTCCCACTGACACCAGAAACAGGGAGCTCATACTGTCACTGACTCAGTTGACACCAATGGTGGGCACTATTCCTCCCACTGACAGCAATAATGTATTTTTTAACTCCCACTGACCACCAAGCCTTTGACATTGTTTACACCCACCAATGCCAGGGTATTTTCTGCCTTTCTCTGGCCACAGTCCGGCTCCCCTAATATTTGAAGGACGGTAAACTGGACCTTTGTTTTGACCGTTTGGAGAACCCTGATCTAGGGGATGTAGGAGCTCTTTTACCTGATCCTTTCTCAGCAGATGACGTTCCTTGAAGCTTAGGCAGTGGACTTTAGCATTGGACAAGAAGTGAGGGGGATCCCCTTACTTCCTGTGTGCTAAAACATTGTCAGCAGGGGGCGGTAAGAGAGAGTTAAGTTTTCTAACAGACCTTAACGGCAGTAAAAATCCAAGAGGGGTTCTAATCCTTCCCCACTCTATCCACAACCAAGATAGAAGGTTTTGGCTAGACATTCACTTTACAGCTCTTGATTTTGCCATTTCCTCAGTGCAGGAAAAAATACAGATCAAAGTATATACAGTACTAGTCAGCAGGATTTGTCCATACCAAATGCACAGTGATTTCAGAAGTTGTAAAAAATAGTACCCTATGAATGGTGGATGAATGAATAAACTGCATCATCCATTCATATATTGCTTTTTTATTGGGGGAACTTATAGTACCACTTCAATGAATGGAGCAGGGGAGTAGAGGGGGCAGGCATAATTGCCACTTTTGATGAGTGCCTGTGACAGGTGGAGCCATTCATATTAACACCTGTAGCACCAGAAGATCAGAGCTGAGTGCGTATCGGGGGACAGAGGAATAAAGATTGTGAGGAAGAGAGCAGCCACCAGCACACAGATCACTTGTCATTCATGTAAGTACCGACTGTTTTAAAAAAAAAAAAAAAGTAAATTGCCAAATTTCAGCTTTAAAGCGGTAGTAAACTGCTGCTGAAAATAAAAAAAACTGGTTCCCCCATCCCCCGTAAAGTCATAATGTACTAGTATGCACCACATGCTAACACATTATGACAGATCCCTCCAGTGGCACGCTGTCACCACTGACAGGGAATCCATCTTCACCCGGTCGTCTTCCGGGTTCAATGGCTGTGGCCGCTTGATTGGCCGAGCTGCGATGACGTCACTCCCGCGCATGTTGCTGGAGTCACTGTTTACGGTACAGGGCTCTGAAGGAATAGCATGGGTATGCCGTGTATACCCAGTATGACTATGAAAATGTTGTAACATCACCATCCATACATATGATTACAGAGCTAGTGTCTATATGATCCAACGCGTTTTGGAGTAACTTCACTCCTTCAGGGAAAAAGAAGAACTCTGCATATGAGTGACATCATCTACAAGATTGAGCATATATTTGTTTGGAACATTTCTTGTATCCATTACAATATTTTACAATTTACAATCTATAGATATACTCACAATACATGAAAGTGCAGAAAAATTTTTTGAGTTTTCAACCCATTTAAAAGACATGGTAATTCAAAATGCTGCCACCCCATGTGGTTGGATGACCGGCTGAACCTGGATGTGATGGAAAACCCCCCAGGTACGGATCACAAGGGCACACCACAGGTCATTGCAATAAATAGCTATGCAAATAAGTAGGAACACATTATGTGTCATACACTAGTGCCATAATAGTCTCATAGACAGTACACGTTTAGGAGATATTTGCGGTGCCTACAGGCAAGCCTTACTATAGGCTTACCTGTAGGTACAAAGCAAAAAAGGGAGTTTACTCCCGCTTACATCAAAATCCTCAACACATTCCAGGTGCATCAAAACATGAGGTGTACTTATGTCTTAGCTTCTTTTATACATATGGTGGGGGTCCATTTTGATCAGCTAGTAAACAAATTCTCTTTTTAATCAGAGCAGTAGAAGACGGGTGATCCTTTTGTTACATATGTGTGCCTGTTCAGTTTTTCCTCTTGAATGTGGAGCTTGACGGATCTATCAGCAGGCAACTGTAAAGTGACATACATTCGTAAACATTCTTTTACCATCCACTTGCCCATAGACTTATGTTGAGCTTCCAATCAGGTCCACTTAAAACTGACAAGCGGATTTTATTGAATCAGCTGAAAGGGGCCTTATAGTTCATATTCTTTAGAAAGCATTTACAGCCTAGAGAGAGTAGAGAAGTCCATATCTTTACCACCAGAAAGGACCCTTGCTGTCTGTATGAAAGCAGTGGTCTCTCTGCCAAGGTGTGCAATTTGATGTCTTATTTGTTGCCAAAAGTTCCATCTGCATATACACTATATTGCCAAAAGTATTGGGACACCCCTCCAAATTATTGGATTCAGGTGTTCCAATCACCTCCATGGACACAGGTGTATAAAATCAAGCACCTAGGCATGCAGACAGCTTCTACAAACATTTGTGAAACAATGGGTCACCTGCAGTAGCTCAGTGAATTCAAGTGTGGTACCGTGATAGGTTGCCACCTGTGCAATAAGTCTATTTGTGAAATTTCCTTGCTACTAAATATTCCATGGTCAACTGTTAGTGGTATTATAACAAAGTGGAAGCAACTGGGAACACTAGCAACTCAGCCACGAAGTGGTAGTCCACGCAAAATGACAGAGCGGGGTCAGTGCATGCTGAACCGCACAGTGCGCCGAAGTCAGCAACTGTGTACAGTGTCAATAGCTAAAAACCTCCAAACTTCGTGTGCCCTTCAAATTAGCACAACAGTTTGTAGGGAGCTTAATGGAATGGTTTCCATGGCCGAGCAGCTGCATCCAAGCCTTACATCACCAAGTGCACTGCAAAGCGTCGGATGCAGTGGTATAAAGCATGCCGCCACTGGACCCTAGAGCAGTGTGGACGTGTTCTCTGGAGTGACAAATCACGCTTCTCTGTCTGGCAATCCGATGGACCTATCTGGGTTTGGCGGTTGCCAGGAGAATGATACTTGCTTGACGCATTGTGCCAAGTGTAAAGTTTGGTGGAGGGGGGATTATGGTGTGGAGTTGATTTTCAGGGGTTGGACGTGGCTCCTTAGTTCCAGAGAAGGGAACTCTTAAGGCGTCAGTGTACCAAGACATTTGAACAATCTCATGCTCCCAACTTTGTGGGAACAGTTTGGGGGTGGCCCCTTCCTGTTCCAATATGAATGCGCACAAAGCAAGGTCCATAAAGATATGGATGAGCGATTTGGGGTACTTGACTGGCCTGCACAGAGTCCTGACCTCAACCCGATAGAACACCTTTGGGAGGAATTAGAGCGGAGACTGTGAGCCAGGCCTTCTCATCCAACATCAGTGCCTGACCTCACAAATGTGCTTCTGGAAGAATGGTCAAACATTCCCATAGACACACTCCTAAACCTTGTGGACAGCCTTCCCAGAAGAGTTGAAGCTGTTATACCTGCAAAGGGTGGGCCAACTCAATATTGAACCCTACGGACTAAGACTGGAATGCCATTAAAGTGTATGTGCGTGTAAAGGCAGGCGTCCAAATACTTTTGGCAATATAGTGTATATTCACCCCAGCCATGCAGCAGAGAACAGCTGAACAGTGACACTATAGGAGATGAGGATCAGTGGTAGAAAACTATGCTTGTTCTCACTGGATTGGCAGGACAGTAGAAGAATATAGTATTAGGTGTGTTTAAGGTAATTCATCCTGCTTCAGAAATGTTATTATGGTATGTGAACAGCAAAAAAATATATGTGCAAAGCTAGATTACCTCAATATTGCAAGTATTCACTATCTCCCTTCTTGGAGAAGCAATAAAATCTGCTTCCAGGAGAGTGGCAAGTCGATGTCAGTAAGATGACAGCTAGGTCAACATATACCTTAATAAGAAATAGCACATTTTACCATCAATATAACCTTCTGCCCGGTAAAGGTTGGTTTCCATGCCAACATGAAACAATATATAAATAATCCAGGATGTCTAGGGTTTCTAGCTGGCTAAATTGATAGTTGAGACTTGAACAACCTTTTTTTATATAATAATATTTAGTATCATTTTACTGAATTCCTGTTTTATTTCTACATAGGGAATGATTTGTTTAGGATTTCAATAGTACTTTCACTTGCTAAAACATACAATGCTCAACAATTTGCCAAGAAAAAATAATGGGAAAATATTGAACCCTAAACACCAATCCCAACACAGCAGTCATTTTTTGGTGTGTCGTTATGATAAAACTCCACATTCCTAACAGTTTGTTATTGAAACAATTAACTTTTTAAAGCTGAACTACAGTATGCGATCTATATTTTTATTCTCCATCTGCCTGCTATTCTACTTTTTGCCCAAAGCAAGTAATTGACAATTTGAAGATATCATGACCATCTATGCTAATATCCCCAGTTTTGCCTAAATGTGTACAGTGCAAGACATTAAACCAGAAGCTGCGTGGTGCAGTCTAGGTCACACTGCACAGCATAAAACACTAATCTTTTAACATACTTTTTACTGTTCCTGAATAATAGAGACAACACAGCACACATTTTCACCAAATACAATAAAGCTGTAAAAAGTGAAGGCATACTATGAGTTAAGTCCAAGGAGCTGCAAGCCACCTCCTGGACTTCCCTCTATTATTAAAGTGTTACTAAACCCCGGATCCTGCATTCACTATATCTGGTCTCCCACAGTACACAGAACATGGAAATGCAAATAATTTAGTAAACATAAACTGCTAAATACCTTTTCTCATCAGCAGTTAGCGCAGTCTTGTGGCTTCTATCAATGTTCAGCCGAGCACTAGCTAAAGCTTGGAGGAATTTTAATTATTCTCTAGGAGGATGCAAAACCCCTGACCTCTGTCTGACCAGTGCTGATTGGCCCTATGCTGATCACATGCACTCTCCCAAGAAAAAAAAAAAACCCTCTAGCAATACCACCAAACTGAGCATGTGCAAAATGCCTATGGTTTAGTCTGTCTTACCAGGAGATAATAGGTGGTTGCTTGAAAAAGGAGAGGAGCAGAGAAGAAAGGATCAAATGTTCTTTTTACACAATGCAAAGGATTAACCCCTTAGGTTCTACAGTGAGTATAACAAGCATGCTTTATTGCATATACAGACTGATTTTACTGTTGTGTGTTTAGTAACACTTTTTAATATCTATAGCATTTCAAAACTGGTTTAGAGGCACTCAAGGGTCTTGCAGAGGAGGAAGATCAAAACCAGCAGTGATCAAGTGAATATAAACCATATAAATGCTGCGCTACATTCAAAAATAAAAATAAAAGTGAATGTGGAATCCAATGACATAAATCAATATAGTGACAATAAAAAACCATATAAATGCTGCACTACATACAAACTAATTAAAGTGAATGTGGAATTAAATAACTTAAATAAAATAATAACAATAATAATAAATATAATAAAAAATGTGCTTAGTGATAACACAAAAAAATGATGGCAAAACACACAAACTAAAATCAATACGCATGTGCATAAAAATGCACATACATATATTACATCACACGTGCAAAATGTGAAGTGAAGTTAAATCTAAATAATACACGCAAAACTCAAAGTCCAATAATGGAATATTAAGGTGAAAAAAGTCCAATAATGGAATATTAAAAGTGAAAAAAATTTTGGTTTTGGTAAACTGTGTTTCCAATATGCTGTAAGGTGACCACAGGTGAAACAAAACGTGCAGGTATCTGGGTGTAGATAACTTGTGAATCCAACCACCTTCTGGATTAGCCTCTCACCTCATCTCTTCGACCCTTGCGGGTCACAGAGCAGTATGGATCTCTCTCACAGATCCTCCAGGCACCACAGCACTCCAAAACCACTTCTCAGGATACAATATTCCCACTCAGCTCTTCTCCAAGTGTAGATGAAATATCACTTTCCCAGAATAAAACAAATGGATCCTCCCATAGTGTAGTAAGTTTATTATACCATAGGAACATCACATGTATAATACAAAAGCACTCACGTAGCAGCCAGTCCACATTAAACCCTCATGCTCTCAAATGAGGATATGTGTATGTAAGTTGGGTGTACAGCTGAGTCCACAGGTGTACCAAGATGGCCGCCACGCCGGAAATACGTCACCGCGCTACGCCGACGCGTTTACGTCACAATATCACGTGACTTCATCAGGGCTCCTGATGAAGACCAGCAGTGTTTTTGTCAGCGTTTCGATGAAGCTCAGTCCATCTTTCTCAAGGCATCTTGAGAAAAGTTTTGGATTTATATGGATTTCTTTGTGTGTGAGCATTTGGGCATTTATCTCAAATATAGAGTGCCATGGGTTTTTTTTTGGAACTATTATCTTCTAGGTTTATGGCTCTGCCGGAGCATACATTAAGACACTTGGGGCTGTGAGAGAAGAGAGAAGCGCACAGAGCAGCTATGGTTCCCCATTGCCACGCAGTTTTCCACTTGGTCATAATGGATGCCTTGTACAATGAGCACAAGCATACCTTTGCAACCTTCTGAGATGAGAAAGGAGGACACTTTGGCAAACAATATTTAGTCAGTAGACACACCTATGGCACACTCCAGATGATGACAAATTAAAGTGCAAAAATGAACGCTCAGTGCCAGTTCAAACTGCTGCAAAATCTATGTGGATCAGATGCATTCAGAAAATCATACATTCGCATTTAATGTCAAAAAGCATTATTTCGGACTTGTTCACATTTATGCGGTGCAAATTTGATGCGGTTGAGAAAAGGGTCTTGTGCGGGTTTAGTGTGGGTGTGGTGCGAATTTCATCTCTTGCTATGCCCAGTCCCCTCAGAAATCTCATTCAATTCGCATCTGTGATAGCAAAATGAAGCATTCCCCTGATGATGCTGATTGGTGGCAAAACATGTTGGGCGGGGCCTAGTCGGTGATGTGCTCCTATACTTCTTATGTTTGTGAGTATATGTCTGCTTAATTAAATAAAAAATTGTTTTACGATACAACACCAGTGTGGTCCTTTTGATTTTCTCCTCCGGAGGGAATATCCATTTATTGCACAAGAAGATTCCTTCTGGTGTCTGTTGAGGTGGTGGTGAAAGTATCCTAGCAGTGAGATGAGTGCTGAGTACGAGCACACAAGCTTGTATTGATCTCGGGAAAGTGAGATCAATGTTTTTGGTAAGAGGCTGATCATTTATTTGGTGGAGGAATCACGTTTGCTCACCACATTTCAAGATTTGATTGAATCTCGGAGAATACATGTTGGATTGAGCACTTTTTCATGTCTGGTTTTGCTTTTCATATGGCGGATTGCTCTTATTTATTATAAAATTGTGGTTTGTTAGCCTTTGTATTAAGAGGGTTCACAAGTGTATATTCTATTGCTATAAATGTAGAGATGCGCACCAAGTGTATGTTTAGACAGGTAGTGTAAGTGCCTGAATTTGACTCGATATCTTCCTTTTGCAGTCTCTCTACAGCAGGGCCAGAGCATCAGGGAAAAGTAAAATACATGGAGCCAATCTGCTCATGTGCCGACAAAAAACATGCCGATAGGAGGAGAAATTAGAATGACAGAGAGATGAGCTCATCACTGTGTTACTACTTTTACTGTCTAGCAACATGCTGGTGTGGGTCCTAGATGACCTGGGCCCAGAAGAAGTGGGTTGAATGATGCTGGCCATCAGACTAAGGACATCAGGCAGCAGAAAAATTATTGTGGGGGATATCTCTGGATTAAAGATGAACATTGCAGCAAAAGCTGGTTTTGTTACTTTTTCATTTTAATTGGCTTCTGATTTTCATCTGGGAACTTTTTACTGGAGTTTTGCTTTAAACCCCCTAGATCTTTTTTCACTGCCTTTTTTTCTTTTACATTAAAGTGGAGCTTTAAGCTGGGAAAAAAAGTTTGGCAAACTTGGTC